TCTTCAATAATTGGATTTATCGCAATAATTTTGTCAAAGCCATGCCAGTACATTGATGCACCCATGTATCGATAATCATGTAACCCGGCAATCGTAACCATTTTGAGTTTACAAACGCACTGTAACTATAAAAAAATTTTCCGTAACACAAAAACTCTTTCTCATGATATCATTTTTTTTAATATAACAGATATTTCACGGTGTTCGACTGAAAATACAGAAATAAGTTATATAAAAAACTAACAAAAAAAAAGTATGCTAGAAAAATGTTGGCTTCAAGTAGAACTCGCTACGTATTTTTAATTCACAAAGATATGAGTGAGTTGGTTCTAGGTCAACGAGCCAGTAACATTCGAAATATGAAATAATCAGTGTTGTCAGCTTTGCATCATAATGAGTGATCTACATGCAGAATTATGTCATACGGTATGTAAAAATCTTAACTCCTTCTGAAAATGGATAAATGAAAATCATACCTTTCTAAAATAGGATTTTTTTCAAAATTTGCTAGGCCACGCCCAAAAAGTTGAATGGAACCATCCCTCTCATATTTCATATGATCGTACTGGTATTTGTCGTGCGAATAATTTCGATTAACCAATGATATTTTTGCAGTATCACGGGATGATCTACAAAAATCAGCCAATTACAATAAAAGCCCGCTATGCTATTGATTACCGTAAACAAACGAAAAAAAAAGAATGAAAATCGAAATAATATTATAAAAACCAATCGAAAAAATACAATAGCACCAGAAAATTTTGTAAATTTTATTTTTAATGCTCTTCCAGAAAACTATAGCTCTGATTATTTTATTTGAGCAAAAAGTTTTTATAATTCTGAATCCAGAACGCAACAAAAAAAATTATTGAAGAAACATAATGAACTTAAATAGTAACAATGATCGATATTATTAACAAAAGATTGAGCCATTGCATAAATTGGAGGAGGATTGTTGTTTTTTTAAAGGAAATAGAATCTTCCAAATACTTAGAAAACCGTACTTTCTGGTTGTAATAAATATTACGTTTATTGAGTTTATTCGAAATAAAATAATATGATTAATTTATTGCTTATCAGTATTATTTTATAAATTTTTTTTGTATTTTTTGTTTGTTACATGAATTTTTGGTGCTAGATATATTTGTCACGTGATGGTCTAAACTATTTTATCCCGGTCGATTTATTTGTTACGTTAGAAATTGGCCCATTAATGTTAATGCAGGCCGGATGATATTTAATGCAGGCCAGATAATATGCTAATGCAGGCCAAATAATCTCATATTAAAAATCCCGCGCGGGATTCAAAAAAAACCCGCGCATCCCGCGCATGGCCCATCTCTACTCTCATCTAACTTCTGAATTACCTCACCAATTACCAAATTACTTTAGCGTCTTTTAGAGAAGAAGGTGTAGTTTCTAAATTTTTATACTACAACCTCTGCGAATACTTATTCGTGGTTGCGAATTCATTCTCGTGATTATAAACAATTTGGATTCATTAAATTTGAAATTTTGCATTGTATTAACCAATTGAAACTTCATATCTTCAATTAAAAAGTAAAACAATATACTGGCATTAAATGTTTTTTTTTCAAAGCAGAATATAAAAGTATCTAACTTTGAACTCTCTTATATACCTAAATTAAAATAAATTACAATGTCAAAAAATAATAATGATAATGATCAATAATAAATTTATTGAAGAAAAATAATTTTAATGTATCAAACTTGAAATATCGTAATATCAAGTATTCTACTGTTAAAGTTTCTTTTGGAGAAAAAACCGTAATATTATTATCTGGCATGAAACAATTTCTAACGTCGAAGATTACGTGAACTTGTATAATACATCAGAAACTTTTAAAAACACTTTAAATGACGAACTTGACAAGTGGCTAATCATTTCAAAATCATTAATGAATGAAGATGGTAGTACTGATTATTTGAAAAAGTTTAGTAATCAATCTCAGAAATTTATCACCATAACTTATATATATGAAGATTACATAATTGATCATCTAAAAAAAGAGGAATCTAAAGAATAAAAATGTTGCATTGTGAATTAAAATAAATTAAAAGAGGATTATCGATACATGGGTGCATCAATGTACTGGCATGGCTTTGACAAAATTATTGCGATAAATCCAATTATTGAAGA